CTTGGGGCAGCCAACGGAGAGGGGAGGCACGTCTGGCTCTTCAGCAGCAATTCGGCGATGGGTCCCTCACTCCCTCTCAGAGTGAAGGACCTGCCGCCGAATTGCCGCCGAAGAATGAAGCGGCCGCGGTACAGCTGCCGCCGAAGTGCTGCAGATCACAATCACGGCTTTTTTTTTTTTTTTTTCTTTTGGGGTGGCAAAAATCCTGGAGCCGGCCCTGCCTGCAGCTCCCATTGGCTGTGGTTCCTGGCCAATGGGAGCTGCGAGGGCGGCGCTTGGGATGGGGGCAGTGTGCAGAGTGGAGCCCCCTGGCTACCCCTACGCGTAGGGGCCAGAGGGGGGACATGCCGCTGTTTCCAGGAGCTGAGTGGAGTGGCCCCCACCCCTGCTCCTTGGCTGGAGCACCAGAGTGGGGCAAGGCCCAGACCCCGCTCCCCAGCGGGAGCTTGAGGGCCAGATCCAGCCCGCGGGCCGTAGTTTGCCCACCCCTGTGTTAAAGGAACAGCAACATATTTTCAGTCTGGGCCCAAGACTTCTGTCCCGCCCCGCAACCCCTGTGCCTTTAAAGACCAGGTCAAAAGTGCAAGACCTTGGGATGCTTTGATCCCATGAGCGGCTCACCAGTCTGAAACACAGCTTCAGCATTAGGTGGGCTTTGTTGCAGCACCCAGGGCACACACCAAAAATAGCCCCTAGGGGATTACTCACACTGCCTGGGTCCAACCCCCGGCTGGATAACAAGCCGAAGCAGTTGGCACACGGCTGCCACACATCAGCCACTGCTCCTCCCACTCAGAGTCTCTCTTGCAATTGGGGAAGCCAGCGTGAGCTGGGCCTGGCTGAGATGATGCCCGATGTGCAGCTTGGGTCTCTTAAATGCTTTGAACGGACTGTAAGACTTTGCATTTAAGCGGAATCCTTTTGAGACAAAAGCGTCTCGGAGAACCAGCAGTGTCAGGTTTCAAATTCTTTGCATTTTTAACTCTGCGGTTTCCTTCCCTGTGTCATTTACACTATTTTGGCCTGGTGACACAGGAAGGCGGGGTGTGGTTTTGTCGGGTTTGTCTTCTGAAGATGGAGCTTACGACCAGGATGGTATTCTAGGGGTGTCTGTGACCCTTCCAGACCGTGTTCTTATGTTTGAAAGCTCTTTAATGGTGCCGAACAAACAGCAACACAGAATTGACAGACTGGATCACACCCAGACCCCATCTAATCCACGTTCTATCTCCAGCAACTGCAGGGACCCCGCGGTGGGCAGCCATGGGATAATCTGCCCCCCCACGAGCTCTCCTCCTGGTCTCTAAGCCCATCGTCTTGCAGTTTTGTCCCCGCTGGGACAGCAGAACTGACCTAACGAAGTCACCCCCCTTTCCAGTGCACTGCCCTGCCAGACTCTTTCACACTGGTGTGACAGCAGGCTGGTTTGCCAGCACTGCAGGGGAAGTTGTAATGAAACCCATCGCCAGCCAGACGGAAGAGCGTCGAGAAGGACGGTTCACATAGTGCTGGCGGCCGGCCTGGCGCTTCGGAGACAAGTGAGACGATGAGGGACCCAATTCTCACTCACACTCCGCTTACTTCCTTATTCTTGAGTTACACCTGCACACGAGTGGACAGGGGCCCACGCTGCTTAAAAACACAATCACTCTGGAGGGCAGGAGGGTCTAATGGACAGGGCACCAGGCTCGGACTCTGCAGATCTGGGGTCAGCTCCCTGGCTCTGCCACAGACTCCCTGGCTGACCCTGGCCAAGTCTCTTATTTCTCCCCGTGCCGCTGGTTTCCAGCTATAAAATGGGGATAGCGCTTTACTGGGGTGTTAAGGAGGAACTCAGTGTTTGTGGGGCTCGGGTACTGCAGGGATGCGAGTCCTCACAGGTCCCAGCCAGTGATTTCGGTCCACGTTGCCCTGAGAGCATCTCGTATGAAGCACCTGCCTTGTTCTGCCCAGCAGCCGAATGCAGCAGGCTACAGAAAGGGGGGCGGAAGGGCAGCTTGGTGCGGAGAGCCAGAGTGCTGGCTCCGAGACCCCCTCCAGGGCAGTGGTGAAACATGCTGTGGTGCCGGCCGATGGCTCCAAGCCCAACCTCTCCCATCCCTGCAGCGGGACGCTCTCCCGAACTCCCACCCATCGGCCTGGCCCAAGAGCATCATCGGCTTTTATAACAGCCACTGAAGACCCCCCGGATGGTAACAGTTTGCAGGACCAGCGAGGTCATACGGGAGCCAGTGACTGCAGTGGAGCAGCTCCCGATTCCCATCCCCCCCCACCCCAGTGTGGGAACTGTCTCTAGGAGTAACACTGCATCAGGGCAATCGCCCGATGCGCCTGCTCCCGTGGCTAGATTCTGCTGTAAAGCGGCTGTGCTGGGCGCATAACCATCCCGAGGCACTCTCCGCTCACAGGAGACACGGGCTGGAGTGAAGAGGGTCAGTGCTAACCGAAATTTGGAAGGAACCATCCAGCCGTGCCAGGGAAAGTGAGGAGGACTCTGTTGTCCAGGGGATTAGGGCACTCGCCTTGGAGGCGGGACACCAAAGGGAGTAATTTAGACAGAGTGGGATAGCCTGAGAAAGCTCCAGCCCAGAATAGCCCAGTGACCAGGGCTCCCTGCTGCAGTGGGGAAGAGCCAACCTCAAAGCCCTTCTCCACATCAGGCAGTGGGGGAGGGGGGGACATGAACCCAGATCCCGCCCCCCCCGATGAGTATCCTATCCACGGGGCTAAAGCTCACAAGGGTGGGGCCCCACCCCGGCCTTTTTGGGACTTGCTTGCTGTTGGCAAAACGCCTGAAAGTTGAAGCTAAATGCGGGGGTCAAAGGAAACCTTTCGCCAAAGGAGACGTTCCAGCTTCTCCCGTCTGGTGGAAGCGATTCAGGGAACTGGGCAGGAATTCACCAATACTTTGGGTCAGCCCCAAACGTCCTTTTTCAGCAAACAAACCATTCAGCTGAAAACCATCACCCAGCCCTACCCGTTCGCCAACCGCAAATCCAGGGCTAGCGTAGGGAGAGTGGTGGAGGCGGCGGTACCTGTGGGGAGGCGGAGCTTGCCCACTTCTCATTTAGGAGCCTAGATTAGTTTATCCACCTTTTTTTTTTTAAAAACGACTAAGCCACTGGAGCAGGGCTCTCGGGGCCCAGAGCCAGCATTGGGCTCAACTGCAAGAAGAGCGGGGGGAACGGAACGAGCCCCTCGTGGCCGATCGAGAGCCCACGCACCATCACAACTGACGGGGACGGGCGGGGAGCACAGGGGCTCTCGTGGACTCCCAGAAGGGACGTGGGAGATCCCAAGGATGAGAGCTAAGACTCTCCTTCTGCTAGCTCGGCCTCAACCCCTCCATTAGCAGCTGGGCCAGCCAAGGCTGTGCCAAAGCAATAGCGGCCTCTCCATCACACAGCCCTGGCAAGCTCGGCACAGAGCCGTGCAGCAAGAGGCAGCAAAGGCTGCGAGCCCATGGACAGACAGGGCTCATTACCCAGAGCTATTTGACAAGCAAGGGGCTTCTGTCTCCATGCCACCTCTTGGCCACTAAGCCTGGAACATCAGCTAATGGCCCTGACAGGAGGGGCGGGTCGGGGCAGCCCCCCGCCCCCCGAGTACAGGCAAGGAGACGAGTGGGAAGAGCAGGAACACCCCCCCCCCCGGGTCCTGCTCAGCTCAGGCGCCAGGGGACAGGCCTAGCAGGAGAGAGACCCGGTCACCCTCACAAAACAAGACAGCCAGTTCCCAGACAGCAGCCAGGCCAAGATGTAGGAGGCTGACGCCTCCTTCCTTCTGGAGTGGGGTGTAGCCGCCAGGCCCCACTGCAAGCTAGGCTGGCCGGGCTGCTCTGGGCACAACAAACTTTTGGTCCATGGGGTCCTAGATGCACCGAGCCCCCTCAACTCAGCAATGGCTACACGCACTTGGCACTTCTGGAAGAATGAAAAGTACAAGCTGGCAACTGACAGCTCCCCTCCCCCCACCTTGGCAGCTGCATGTGGGCATCTGGATGGGCGGCAAGCTGGACAGCTGGCTTGAAACCCAGAACCAAGGCATCTGTGTGTCAGGGCCCCCAATTTGCCAGTGGCACATGGCACCCAGCAGCAGGGCGGCTGCGGGCAGCAGGGCAAGATCTAAAAAGCCTCGTTTTCACGTTGGCATCGCCTTTCCCACGGAAAAGAATCTTTCTGTGCACAGGCAGCAACACCAGCAGCAGAGATCCCCTCACTGCCCTCCATGCCCAGCAATCCCTGGCATCTTAATTGGGTTTCAGGACATCTGCCTCACACCTAACCAGGTGCTCCCACAGCCCCCATCATCTGCATGAGCACCACGACCGTCTGCGCCAGGAACGTGCCAGGATTCTCTATCCAGGGTAACAGGGAGACGGGATCTTTACTTGCTGCACAGTTAAAGCACACGAGATTGGATGCACGTCTCCAGAGCAGAGGGGATCTATCCCCGACAGCACGTGCTAGGAACTGGGGGCCGGGAGAGGCGGAGCCTTCAGCCCACATCAGCTCGCGTTCTCGGGGTGTCCCCTCCCCTCCAGGAATACATCCATCTCCCTGCGAGGTGCAGTTCACTGCATTTTAAGTTGGGGAAACAGAGGCCAGAAGAGTGACTCACCCAAGGCTAGGGAGCAAGTCAGTGGCAGAGCTGGGATGGGAGCCCAGGGGTCCCGATTCTCCCCTGCCGCATGCGCAGGGGTGTGATTTTACAGCTGTGCCGGCAGGACCGAATGGCAGAGCTGTGCTCCCTGGCAAAAGTGACTTGATGAGAGGCGGGCAATGGAGGGTCAGTTCCAACTCCCAGCTGTGCTGTGTGCACTAACCACTAGACCGCACTGCTCCCTGCAGGCTAGACACGGGAGCACCCCTACTTCCCCAAACTCCACCCTCTATTCAGTGCACCCAGCCCCAGGGAAGGCAACGGGGCTGCACAGGGGTCACTGAGGCAGCGCTCAGCCTGGGAGATTGCATGATTAGGGGGGCATGAGCTAGGAGGAGCCCAGCTGGGCTCAGCACCAGCGTGAGCTCATCTCATTACCAGATGGCCAGGGCCCGTTTGATTGGGAGGCCCCGAGAGCCAGCGGAGGCGGCGCCCTGGCAGGCCATTCGCACAGAGACACATTGCAGATTAGACCTAGGCCGCCAGCAGGCTCTGGGCCACTAGAGGGGAGCGGGTCAGGCATTCGAGCAGGCCTCCCGGGAGGCCAAGCAACGCGGCCTGCCCAGCAGCAGTGCGGCCTCCGGGTGGGCGAGACAAACTGCAGGGACACAGGGGCCGGGGGGGGGAAGGAGGAGGGGAGGTAGGGGACTCTCTCCCAGCGCGAGTGCTTGAGATCCACCGACCCACGGCCCCCTGGCAGGGGCTCACTCACCATCCACCACCTCTGGACATCCGGCGGGAGGTCCATGTTCTCCTTGGTCCACACCGGGGAGATGTTGCTGTCGTAGTGGCTGGTGAACCACGCCAAGGCCCCTGCATCCTCCGTGCACCTGCGGCAGGCGCACCCCTCCCCGAGGCGCCCGCCCTGGCTGAGGCGCTGCATGCCGGCGTAGCCGGGCACCAACTTGACCCGGTGGAAGCCGCCTGGGCTGTCGGGGTCCAGGTAGGCCATGCTGGGGTGCGAGTACGTGAAGAGGAGCGACATGACGAACACCAGCAGGAAGGCGGTCGAGAGGAACCAGAACCGCAGGGAGCACTTCATGGTGGAGGGGGGAGAGGAAAGGACCACCCTGCCGGGGCGGGGTCACCGGGTCCACTGGGCTGGCTGCTGACGTGCCAGCCGGCCTGTGCCGACAGTACGCTGCCCACCCTCTCCGCGGCAGCAGGGCATAGGGCAGGCTGGGGGGATGCACAGGGCAGGGGGGAAATACACTGGAGATTGGCACAGCGACGCGTCCGGCTCCCCAGGGGCTCTTTAGTCACCGCAGGTGCAGTCACGGCTCTCTGGACGCCACAGAGCCCAGCTGGGTCCCAGATGCTCCGTTACAAGCCAAGGCGGGGAGCGAGGGAGCGGCTGCAAGTCCGGCTGCCAGTCCCCAAGCCCTGGATTAACAAGCAACAGGAGCCCTGGTCTCTCGTGGGCAAACAGCTCCCCTCTGCCTTGGGCCCCAAAGGGGAGCCGTACTCCTCATCTCCTGCAAGCTCCGCTGGCCTGGGGACGAAGGGAGCAAGTCTTGGTGCGCGCAGACCCAGGGTCTAGCCCCTTGTCGGCCGGTCACCTGCTGCACGACTCTGTCCAGGAGGGGGAAGAAAAGCGCATCTCAGGGGGACTCTGCGCAAGGGGCTAGAGCCAGGTTCCCGCCGCGCCTCGCCCGCACCTGGCTGGCTGCTGCTTTCCATCAGCGTCTCCTCGCAGCTGAGGGGGCCTCGCGGGCTCCGGTTGCCTGGGAGACAGCTGAGCTCTTGAGGAGCTCCACATCTGTAGCAGGGCCCGGGAACAGCTGCAGCTCGGAGGGGGTCTCTCGGCGGCTCCCCCCGCCCCCGGGCCGTGTGCGCAGCTCCTGCTCAGCCCTTCCACATGCTCTCAGGGACCCCCAGCTGGCGTTCAGCTGCAGCCTCCCTCATGCTCTGCGGAAGCCGGCCTTCCCCGCTGCGTGGGCCTTTCAATAATCCCCTGGCAATCTTCCCCTGCCGCTCGGCTGGAGGAGCTTCTGCTGTGACAAAGCCCTGGAATTGCAAGGGGGCAGGGATGGAGGAGAAAAGAGATTTAAAAAAAACAAAACAACAAATCACTAACAGCAAATAAAAACAAGCTCAACTGCTAAACCCCACAGAGCCGGCCACTGCCACCACAAGCCTAAACTCGGCCAGGGGGCAGCTGGAGCCCAGCAGCCCACCTGGGGCTGGTGAAGCTAGATGAAGATCTCCATGAGTGGTCAGGGAGAGTCCTGAAACGTGCCCCCTTCTCCCAAACCTCCCCATGCTCCGTCTGAACGGACGTCAGCCTCGTACATGGTACGCCAGGTCCTCTCCGGTGGGAGAAGAGGAAGGGACACCCCTGCCTCTTAGACCACCTTGCATGGGTCTCTTGTTCAATTTGGCACAGTGAGGTTAGAAGTCCCCGCGTGAGTCAATCCCGGGAAATCCCCCTCGGACCCTCCATCACAAGAGACATTGCATGGTTAGGTGCAGTTGCTTGGAAAGGCCCAGGGCTTCCACAGCAGGGGTAATGCAAGCCAGGCCGGGCTATGTGGGGAGCTCAGCCCTGAACCAGAAGGGGGTGCTGCAAGGTCAGGACAGAGGCCTCCCGACAGCTGTCTGGGGGAGGAGCTGGTGCTAAGTGGATCATCTCCTCTGTGCAGGTAGGTGCACTGTATAGGGAGCCTCTTGGTGATGGGCCAACAGTCAAGATGAGCCACTCACTGCCTGGAGACCCTCCCCCATGCCCAGACCCCACAGGGCCCGTTGGAGCCAGCAGGCGCTGCTGCCACCAGAGTTCAGGTTAGAGACGTGTCATCAACCTGCACAGATAGAACGCTGCTTCTCTGGGCTAGCTCGCGACCGCCTCTAGAGGGTCAGTGGAGTCCCTGCGGCCCCTGGGAGGTGCTGCTCGGGGCCCGACAGTCAGGGCGGAAAGGGCAGCCATAAGACCATGCTTCTTTAGAGGCTCTTTGATGCCTACCCTCCATGGGTTTGCTGGGACACAACGTGAACCCGCTCCTCACACTCCTCGCCCCGCTCCACCTGGAGGCTGCTCTTCACTGCAACACCCGAGGGACTAGACACACTCAGAAGCAGGCCCTGACCCAGACCCACAGGACTCAACCCCCCATGGCAGCCTCCAAGTCGTGACCCATCCTTGCCAGGAGGAATATCCCTGCCTCTGCCAGGACAGACTGCCTCAGCGCCAGGCCAAGCCAGAGCAGCCACTGGCACAAGCAGGCATGGCGTCGCCGAAGGGCTCTGGTTACGGATCATTCCAGGGAAGGCGCTGCCCATGCACAAAGCAGCTCCGGACTGGCTGAGGGAGGGATGAGCAAAGGTTAAGGTGGCTGCGTGGCTCAGGATTAGCAATGGCGTCTAGGCCCTTTCACTCCTAGGTGGCCGGTTCAAGCCTGGCTCACGCCAGTGGCCACCCCACCTCAGAGCCTTTTGGGTGATCTCAGTCCAGTTCCTCCTGCATTTGAGAAGGGAGCGCTCTCCTCAGAGATGCAGGAGGCCCACGTGCAGCAATGAGAAGAGAAGGGGTCAGGGGCCAATCTGGGACTCTACAGAATTGACCCTCGGTCTCCACCACCACCAGCTTCCTGTGGGCAAGTGGCTTGGTCTATGCCTCAGTTCCTCATCTGTGCAATGGGGACAACAGGCCTGCCCTCCACACATAGGCCCATGAACCACAGGGGACGCTCAGATACCATGGTGACAGGAGCAAGGTAGGTACCAGAGGCAGAGGAAGGCTGGGCAAGTGGTGAAGGTACAGGTGTGTGGGAGGGGTTGGGGCATCAGGAGACCCGAGTTCTATTCCCAGCTCTGCCAGTGGACTCCCTGCGCAGCCACCCCCAAAGCACTAGGGATGACTAATTCCCACTCCCCCGCACAGGGGAGGGGGACATGCGAGATAATTTCTATCTGTGAAGTAAATCACTGGTATAATTCATTAGTGTCTTACCAGAGCACCCAGATGCCCCAGTCACGGACCAGCACCCGGCAGTGTCAGGCGCTGTACAAGGATGCCCTTTGCCCCCAAGAAGATTCACCAATGGACCGTGCTGGAGGAGTGCAGAGCCTCTGTTAGGCTGGTGTGACGCCCCTGCCTGGGAGCTCAGCCAGCGCGTATCCAAGCACGGTCCAGAGGAAATGGATGCATTTCTGATACAAGGGACATGTACACAGGGGTGTGTATAGAGCAGGGGTGGACAAACTATGGGCCAGATCCAGCCCGCCAGCCATTTTAATCCGGCCCTCAGGCTCCCACGGGGGAGCAGGGTCTGGGGCTTGCCGGGGAGCAGCAGCATGGCCCTCCTCCAGCTCCTACGCGTAGGGACAGCCAGGGGGCTCTGCTCTGCATGCTGCCCCCACCCCAAGTGCCGCACCTGCAGCTCCCATTGGCCAGGAACTGCAGCCAATGGGAGCTGCAGGGGCGGTGCCTGTGGACGGGGCAGCATGCAGAGCCGCCGGGTCACGCCTCTGCGTCAGAGCTGGAGAAGGGACATGCCGCTGCTTCCGGGAGCCACTTGTGGTAAGTGCCGCCCGGAGCCTGCACCCCTGAGCTTCCTCCCGCGCCCCAACTCCCTGCCCTGATCCCCCTCGAACCCTTCAAACCTCTTGGTCCCAGCCCAGAGCCCCCTCCTACACCCCAAATTCCTCATCCCCAGCCCCACCCCAGATCCCACACCCCTAACCAGAGTCCTCACCCCCTCCCGCACCCCAACCCCAATTCTGAGAACATTCATGGCCTGCCATACAATTTCTATTCCCAGATGTGGCCCTCAGGCCAAAAAGTTTGTCCACCCCGGTATAGAATTTCATTTCATGTGTTTGCCTACAGGCGGCCAGTAGGGGGCGTATTTATACCTGCCTAGTCTCTTGTGGAAGCAGATGCTTCTCACCTAGCGAGCTGCGGTTCCTGTCTGTGAGCAGTGGGCAACACGACCTTTCAGAAAAGCCTCCCCATGGCACTCTGAGTCCTGCTGCCTCTCGCTTTCCCTGACGCTGGACTGTGCAAGCACGTGGGAGGAGCCTTCTGCGCGGGCCGAGGCCCCGAGCGCTGTCAGAGGCAGAGCCTGCCAAGGCTCGCAGTCAATTGCTCACAAACCCAGCCAAGCAGAAGATGGACAGGACAGTCTTTTCCACTGCATTGCCTGCCTGGCGGCAGTGCCAGGTGAGCGGTGCCTCTCTGGATTTCTACCCTAATGCGGCCTCACAGGCTGATTGACTGGCAGCACAGGGAATGTAAAGGCAAGTTCAGTGCATGGGTTATCGGAGACCTATGTTCATTCATTGCAGTGAGCCAGGAGACGCATCCCCCGCACTGCCAGGCCTGGATACCACCTTGGGCAGCCTCAGTCGGTGAGCCACAGCTGGTAAGATTTCGGCTATTAAGCCCTGCCTCCCCTTCAGCCCATGCACTGGCAGGGCAGGAGTGGGCCCTGTGGACAGCCCACCCAATCATCGGGAGCCACGTGACTTGCTGCCAGAGACAAGGTCTGGAATTCCCAGCTGGATCCTGGCTTCCAGGCCCAGAGCAGATGGGATAACGGGATGAAAGCAGGAACGTCCCATGCAGAATGGGAACGAGAAAACCCAGCACTTGTGGGACCTGCCAGTGCTCTCGGTGGCACCTGCGATCACGGCTGTCAACGGGTATCAGAGGAAGGGAGTTTAAGCTCCTTTTCCAGTTCGCCATCTTCACGCCTGCGCATTCCCGTGCTGAGTGTTCATTGAGGAAGTTCTGATCTATTTCCAGTTCCGGCACTCAGGACTTAGCTGACCCCCTGCTGCTGTGTGTTTGGCTGCCTGTCTGGGACAGGCTGCGTGTCCCACTTGAAATGTTATCCTAAGGTGAGTCAGCATAGAGCACAACCAGAACCTGTCCCCTAACGCGCAGTCCGGCAGAGACGGGATTGGAATTCCATGGACCACATCCAGCATGGGTTCCAGATACAATGTGCCGATCAACGGCACTACGAGCTTGGAGGCTAATGAGTTCCCTAGAGTTCGAGCTGGGCCAGCATAACCTTCCTCCACGCTGCACCTCCCACTCCCCAGCAATGGGCCACAGCCCTCCCTAGAGGGATCCACCAGTTTCCACAGCAATCTTGTGCCCTCTGAGCTGAGGCCAACAGCGAGGAGGTGCCAAGGGTGGCATTTGCTGCAAGTCCCTGCATCAAGACCTCACTTCCACGAAATCATAAGCCACCTAGGAGCCAGACAGCCACAGCTTTCCTCCAGGCAGGGCCAGCTTTAAGCCGATTCGGCTGATTCCCCGGAATGGGGCCCCGCGCCTAAGAGGGCCCCGCAACATCCGGG